GCCATCTTGGGTATTTGCAACTTCACTCTACTGTCATTTCACTCCTAATGAAATTATGAAGCAGGCAACAAGCATAAATTATTCAACATTGGGTTTTGATGGGGTAGAAGAATGCATCTCTCAAAATACCTCATCTCTTCTTTAGTATTCCAAAACACCTCTAGATACAATTCCTTGTCTGAGAGTGTTTCATGTTGAAATATTCTTGGGCTGTTCTCGGTTGCTAGCCTTGCCTCTAGTTGTTCAAATGGTATTGTTGGCCCTTATATGGGGCCAGGAACCCTTCTCCATTGGTGTATTTAGCATCACATAAGTAATAACACCCTATCATGAAAAAATACAATGTCAGAATCTATATAAACATATACTATGTCACTTTATCCTAGCATGTACAAGTAAATTTGATTGAGGATGTACCTTGAGGGACCTTTAAGCCATTTCTCCTACTAATGGCATCCCTTAGTACTCTACCATCTGTAGCCAAACCTTCTCACCTGGGGAGAACATAAATAAATTGCACGTCGAGTGTGCAAACACCAAGCACATTCATTGTAATTTCACCCTTTCGTGTTTGATACCTCGATTTATCACCAACGTCGACGTGAACCCTAATGTACGTTCCGTCTAGTGCACCCAAGCAATTCTAACAACACAAAAATAAGAAAACATTAAGGCAGTTACTGGATAATGTCCAAATCAGAATTTTATGTAAATTATATGTAGTCGTAAAAAAATATCTACCTTGAACCATCTCCAGCATTCATCAGTTGAAATCTCTGGTATTGGCTTTGGTTTCTTAAGTAAAACGAAATTCAATTTCAACATAGCTGTTAACACAGCGTGAAACTGTCTCACCTGATCTAGATATTTGTCTCTTCATAACCCTGTACTTGACGTGGTGCACAAGGATGTGAAGGAAACTATCTACCATTTCCTATATACTAGTATGTCTAGTTGAAACTAACCCTCCACGACTTTCTAGTAAATTACATAACTTAGAAAATACTTTCCTATCAATTCTACAGTTCTCGAGACAAACTCCATCAGTCTAAAAAATCATGGTCTGTAAATTTAAATTCCTAATCTCACATCTACCCATTAACTCACCCGCATGGGTTATGGAACGCCTAGATTGATTCCTATTCCTAAGGTGTAATGCTAACCCTACAAAGAGAAACATGGTGAACAAGTTTTCCAACATGTCCAAGTGCATATACAAAATTGCACCAAACACATCTTCTGGCTTAGTGTTAAATGAGGCATGGCTGTTTCACCTAATCCATGTACGAACAAGCAAACTATTGCTTAAGAACAACTATACCAAAGTACGGGAGAATAAACAACAACATCAACTTATTCAACAACACCCAAAACATGAGGTTACTGCACAACAACTATCACCAATCTTTGTCAATAATGTACAACATACAACAGTGAACAACTAAAATAGGAATACTCAGTTAGTGAAAATGAATCAATCACTGTGCAATAATTTTCAACATCAAGTCCCAGACTTTAGTATAATCTACTATCATAGAAAACTAGCACTCCTAATAACAAGAGCTTATATTAATTCCACCCATTTAACAAGAATACCACTAGATACGCAACTGTTGTCAGCAAGTCAGAGTCCCAAAAGCAACTGACAAGGAAGATAAACATCATACAAATCCAAAAGAACAATTCAGAAATAAAAAAAAAATGACAGTTCAGATCGAAGCAAGCAACTCAGATTTAACATTGTCCATTTTGTTCCCTAAACCATCCATCTAATGGTCCTAAACCCTAAACCGTGGGTGTAAATCGAATTACATTATAACAAAATGACTTATAATTAAAAGAAGTACAAACCTAACCTCTTGAAGGCGCTGTCGCTTGTGGTCATTGGAAATCACCGCAGTGAAGTTGGAAATGGTCTGCGACAGTTTGAAAAAATCAAAATTACCACAATGATACACAATAATAATCGTTACAGAGTAAAAGAAGACGATGAACCTTGGGCATGGTGGTCGACGTCGTCTAGGGCTCAAGTCAAACACAATGTCATTGCTGCTGTTATCGTCGAAGAAGAGAAATGAGAACGGATAGGGTTTCGCAAAATTGGTAAGTTATAGGTGTAGTTCTTTCAAACTTCAAGGGCATTTTTGTCCTAAAATATTATTAAATAAGGTTACAAATGGGAATTTTTGCTAAAATGGCATATTTGTTATTAGGTAGATATTAAAGGGCAAATCTATCCCAAGTGACTACTATGTAATAAGATACACCTAATAATGTTAAAAAACCACCCCTAGATTAGGTTATCTGATTACCACAAAGTTGACCCACAGTGTTCACTACTGGTAAATAAAAATTACTATTATCTTTTTTAACCTTCAAACCAAATGCAGGAATTTCGGGAAAAAAAAATATAGATAACAACATTTATCCCCATATAGCCCTAACCAACCACACCCCTACTGTTTTCCTTTATATGAGTGTTCTTGGTGATTAGCCAAGTTTATAAGAGGTTGCGAACTGCGAATTGAATTACAAGTACTTGGTATTCTAAGAGAATATTAAGTCAGTCTCTTTCCCGTATGGTGTCTTTGCTATTTTCTTTGTTAAATTCAGAGTATCTAATCTCGATTTTGTGAGGGAGACTTGCCTATTTATACCCGCTTAGTCTAAGGTAATGATTACATATCTACAAGTGGGTAGGTATCGTGCAAGTCCTTCCTAGCCTCCCGTTGGTTGAAAACTATTAAATATCCTTCAATTAAATGGGGCTTAGACAGGTGTGCGAACCAAATTCATTCACAGACAAAACTTAAGTCGGATGAGTTGTTGATAGCTATATTCTTTCTATCTTGGGCTACGTGGCAGACTCTAGACGATGTAAAGTTTCCCTGAACTCTGATTGGTGTTCGCTGACATAAGCTTATGTTAACCCTGATTTTTTAGGCATAACAATAATATTTCAAGTTTAACAATTAGGGCATTGTAACTAGGTTTGAAACTCTTCCATCTAACTTTATATTAAGTTAGCTTTGGTAAAATTAAATGTTGATTCTAAAACGTGAGATATGATCTTTATATTGTTATCCCTTAAAGGAGGGTTAATAAACAAATAAATGGGTCTAAATTACACTTATCTAAACCACACATTTTCCACAAGTGAAGATAACATTGCAATAAAATGAGAATTTAGAAAGTTAGTTAATTTTATATAACACTGTTGTGCTTACAGAGTTTGGGATTCTAAATTTAGATTTTAATTATGAGTTAACTACCTTCCTCTCCCCTAACCCCCCAACAACACCCCCCCCCCCCCCCCCCCCAAAAAAAAAGGTTAATGACACTTTCCTACCCTCAAACTTTTAAAATACCACCCTAAAACCACCATCAGAATCCCCATCCTCCCCTCTCCAAAACCCCTAACAGCCATGAACCCATTTGCTCGCCGATCACCATTGTGCTCTTCCTAGTGTTTCGGTTGCATGATGAACTTGGGGTGTGTTTGATTGATGAAATTAAGCAAAATTGGAGGTTGATTTGCCAATTGCACGCCGTTCGCCATTCTCCATCACTTAGGGTTTCACTATTTGTCGTTCTCCGTTCACCGTTCTCCCCAACACTGGCGGCAAAAGAAGGGTATATTCATCTTCACAATAAAAATCACTGTATTTCCCACCCAAACCAAAGAGAAACAAAATATTTAGGTACTAAAATAGTATTATGAAAGTCTGAGGGTGAGAAAGCATCATTAAGCTTATTTTTGGGTGGTAAAAAGTCATTAACTCTCTTAGTTATGTAACACTTGATTCCATAACACTTTCATAACTATAAAATTGTGAGACAAGTATAACTTGTCAAATAAATTATCACATTAGTTCAAATACAAATTTAGGATGGTAACTTTGTAATTACCAAGAAGTAGAGAACATGGTAAAACTTGACATGCATCAAGTTAAATTTGTCTAATAAAGGATTAAAGGAGGCAATTCAGGCATGCAACACCACAATTATTTGATAAAGAGTAAATGACATATTCATAAATTGGTACCCTTGGTTCCATTTATTCCAGATTCTCACTCTTAAAGTAACAGAAAATTGTTGGATATAACAGTTAAGGAGTAAATTGGTAATTCTGCAGGAGGAGGCGCGCATTAGCATATCACTGCCCCTAACAGTGCTCCAACACACGATAGCCAATGTTGCCCCTGACGTTTTTTGCCCTTTTTCTGACGATTCTTCCACCCAAAATCACCCTTGTCACCACCATTCGAACCTCATCTTCCCCTCTGCAAAACCCTAAACCTTCCCAGCCACGACAGCTCACCATTTGTCGTCCACCACTTCACCAAAAAACACGATGAACACGAACTCTTGACCAATGAAAGACAACTAAACGGTTGCTGGGATAGAGGGGTTTTGTAGAGTTGGAGACATTGGTTGCAATGGTGATGTCCAATTAGATTTTTGTCTTCGGAATCGACCGGAATTCAGCGAAAAACAACGAAACCCTAAGCCTTACGACGCCAACGATCAAATGGACCAATAATTCAAGGACCAGAGAGGTTTTAGACTACAAACGATGGGGAAGGTGATAGAGGTGACCAGGGGGTTCAACGCCGTCAAAAACAACCTAGATCCGACAAAAACCAAGAGAGTGCATAATTACCGAGGATGTTATTGAAATATTTTAAAAATAAGATGGTTAATTTTACAATTTTAGTGATTTAAGAGTTAAAACATAATTTATTAATTTATTTGTTAAGGGCATTATGATAATAACACCCTCTATAACTTAAAAAAAAATTGCTGTAACGTTATTTTAAGAGTGCAATGAAAGTAAGGTTGCAAACTTAGGATTTCGTGAGTGGGAATATGTCGTTACTCTTTGATAAAATACAAAGTCAAACAGTATGGACTATGCATTACCACCATTTCTTCCCCAGCATTAATATTTAAAAATAAATAAAATAAGCAATCATATAGATAATAATAATAAACGTACATTGATGAAATAAAAAGTACCATTATATCAAATATCTATTCAATATTTACATACATCCTAAAACATTTTGGCAGCAGCAACACGAAAGATTCTGGTTTGGGCACAACCACAAGCTTGTGTTTGCAAATATACACAAGTGATATGAAGGAAATCCCATTCCTACCTCACTCATTTATTCATGTAAAATGGAGCATACAGGCTATCCATAACGGGAAACTGCATATTCTCTGCAGGTTTCCAGTGCCTTTTCCTTTGATTGATGAACCAATTGTTTATCTGCCTCTGGTCTAGCCCCGTTGATTCCGCCAGTTGAACCTTATCCGATTCCTGCATTATCATCAACAAACCCAAAAGTAGATTCCAAACCGTTATCAAAATAACAGTAAACTCCAATGCCCAACTGCTTAATTAATCTGATAAAACTGTGGAAAAATTATACCGTGGGATAGGGCCATTTGTTGTGGACACTCCACCAATCAAACAAGATTTGCCTGGCTTCTTTCGGTAGTTTTCCCTTTTTCTTCTTCTTAGAAAATTCATGCTTCAAGGTGCTAATATAACCACCATATTTACGAAAGAGTTTGTCCTTAAGCTCACGGTCCACCGGCGGCGTCCGGAAACATTCAGGAACCTCACTCTCACCCCCACTACAATCGTCATCAGATGATCCAACACCTTCATCTACCAACAAGATAGATATTAATAAATAAGAAAATGCCAAACATCTAAACATATTTATTTACGTCTGCATTGTCCACGTCAAAGAATCATGCATGCAAGATGTTTATTCTTCCACTCAAATACTTATCCATGTTAGTTTTCCCAAACCTGCTAATCCGCAGAAACAGTTCAGGAAAAAACAAACATTTAAAAAAGAAAATGCAAAGATAAGGCTGCAGCATGAATAAATGCATGATAGAAATGGATGTGATGTAACACTTCTGTTTGCTTTTATATTTTAAAGAAAGCGTGTATGATAGATGAAGAGAGAGCGTGGGGGTGCGTGAGAGTGGCGGCAAAGAAAAATATTCTGGAGGTCCGTTAGGTCGAATCAGAGTCAGAAGTGGAGGGTACGGCTATCATACGCCACGCAGAGTTTACTGTCGAGTGTTTGACTGATGATAGAAAGAGGTAACCCGCAAGGCACGCACTACTTTTCATCTTCCCAATCTCTGTCACCAAAACAGCTAAGCCAATCCACGTACACACCCCACCCACACCCTTCTTCAACGTTGGAAAAGAAAACTTGACACAAAAAACAAAGAAAATGTTTTGGGGTTCAGTTCTCGAGAAAAATGCATCTTTTTACCAAATATTACAACTTCACGCACTTAAATCAGCTAATTTATTAGTTACATTATCCATAAGACTATAGAACCAAACACACAGAGAAAGGAGTGACTGTGATTCACTTACGGCTAGAAACCACTACTTAAAGTGAGTAACCCTAATTCGGTCAGAGAGAGAGCGAGACTTTAAAATTGAAGCAGGAAGGATCAGGGAGTCTTAATGTTGATATGGCAGCTAACTGCAGCGATAACCGCGGGAGGTTTCCATTTTTCATTAAATTAAATGGCCCCCCCAGAATACATCTAATTATAAACGAGGGCATTGAGTTGTCTATGATTTTTCTTTCAAACAGCCTAACATTTATATTTACCGTTTTCCTTTTATGTTGGTAGCAAGGAAATCACCATGCAAGAGCATGGCCCACGTTGGCTAAATTTCCATATTCATGAAATTCAGGACCACAATTTTGTCATCACCCAGCATACCTCTATTTTTCTACTGTAATCCTTCGATTTCCGATGCATTAATGATCTTGTTTCAAACATGTAAATAACATTTTCTAAAAAATATCAAGTCTCACCTCTCTAAGTTTTTTAATTATTATATAATTTTAATAACATAACTCATGTCTCATATGTATCATTGAACACATAATTGAAGTTTCAACTCTTAATATATTTTTCTTATTATTATTATTTTCTTATTATTGTTAAACAATTCTGCTCTACAATATTTCTTTATTAAAATGTTATGCTATTATGTATTGTTAGGCTATAATACTGAGTGTAAAGAGAATTGTATTTTATGCTCAAATACTCTTTCTTCATGTCAGATGGATACCATATGTTGTTAAACTATAATATTGAGTGTAAGGGAATTGACAGTATCAAATATAACACCAAACAATCAAATCACAGACACAAAGTAAACATTGATTTCAAATCAACAAAACACCAAACAAAAAAAAAAGTAGCCTTACAATTCCCTTTACACTCAACATTATAGCTTAACAACAGATAGTACCCATCTAACATAAATAAAGAGCACTTGAACATAAAATACAATTCCTTTTACACTTAACATTATAGCCTAACAATACATGGTACCCATCTGACATGAAAAAAGAGCACTTGAGCATAAAATACATTCGAGAGCGTAACACTTTTAATAAAAAAATGTTATAGAGCAGAAGTGAATTTACAATAATGATAAAGAAGAATAAATTAAGAGTTGAGACCTCAGAGAGAGGTGAGACCTGAGACCTAATATTTTTTATAAATATTATTTACAGATTTGACCTTTGCACATTTTTGCTAAGACAAAATCGCCAATGCATCGGAAATTGAAGGACTAAAAAGTAGAGAAATTGAGACACACAACTCGCTAGATTGGACATCACCTATATATATATATATATATATGTTCGTGCAATTTCAAAGGCAAATTCAGCCCCTCTGCTAAGCATAACCAGAGTATTCAGAATCTTAAACCAAGTAACAGAACCCTAGATATCTCATTCTAATTGATTCTCTGAGAAACACAAGTTCAATCTATTTTTGACCCACACAATTAAGGTAAATAACAGACAAAACAAGTCAAGGAAAACCACCTAATCACCGATTAAAGTAAAAACCTTGCGTCCAGTAGCTAGAAAGATTATGTCAGATGATCCTGTCAAACATATTGGCTTGTAAAGACCCTCTAATTCACATGCAGACAAAGATCATGAGCAATTCTTAAATTTTATAGCGCAAAGAGAAAAATGATAAGCATACCTTACAGTGCAAACATACATGTTAGAGATTAATCAAAAAGGCCATTTTCGTCCAGCACTCCTAAGTCGTCCAAAATTAATCTAAAATTTAAAATGATGATGAATAATAACATAGTCTAAGGCTAATACTCCATAAAAAGTTGCAAGGATCGTCAGCTGTCTCTGGGTATATAGGTATGAATCATGATCAGCAGTAATCAATAAACTACACTGACTAGCAATGGGAAAAACCATTCACATAAATATTTCTCTATAATATAGTTGCAGTGCTATAGACTTGGCGAAGATAATGTCATCCACACAAACCATAAACCTTAATGGGAATAATAAATTAAAAAAAAAAAAAAAAAAAAAAATTAGAGCAATAGGTTTTTTAAGGATGTCAAGAAACATGGGCGGAAGAAGATTTTTAAATAAACAGAAATTAAAATTGCACACTAAGCATTGCCGTCCCATAAATGAGCAAAAGATCTGGAAATAAATATCAAACAAACCTCAGAAATCTAACATCATAGACAAAAACCTTCATAAATATAATTTTTTTACTTGCATTGCATGCACTTCAAATTCTAGAGATATCCACATAAAATTAAAATCAATTACATCAAGTAAAAGAAAAAATTGCTGCATGTCCACAGTGAGATACAAAAATATAATTTTTTTTACTAACAAACAATGAGAAGACAAGGTGCACGGTTCGCACAGTCAAACAAGACTTAAATATTTAATTTATCAAACAAGCGTTCTCCACCCAAATACCCCACTAAAGGGATGAAAGAATTTTAATATGGAAAAGATGATTTATTGCCACATATAAAGAAGGGGCATATCTTGGGAGTGTTTCAAGATCTCTCTAATATAATGTTAAAAACATCTTTTAAGTTTAATACATAAATTCAATCTTAAGGATAGTCATGAACACAAATAGAAATAAGAATGGATTAACATCATGAATCACCCAAAGACAAACAGAGATAGCTGTACTACAAACGTTTCAACATTAAATACGATCATTTAATTAGACCCTATATATAATTAAAGAACAGTGATGATCCTATATTACTCAAAATTTTCCATTTACGAGATGTCAAAAAGTACCGAAGTGCCACACTAGAAAAATTCAAAGAATCAGTTCCACCATGCATAACTGAAAAAGAGAAGAAAGCCCATCAGACAAAAACCTTCAATGTCTAACAAGCCATATGGCTCTACAGTGATGTCTTCCTTTTAAATTCAAATTTTAGATTCACGCATGACCATACCAAGTATATTAATCACTAGCTTTCCAAAGAAAAGGTACTTCGTTCCAATCCAAATCCATAACCTCAAAGCTGTGCAACTACAGAGATAATGAATTAATAATGCATATTTCTCTCAAAGTGATGCTAAAAATAGCTTGAACCATACTATATACATACGATTGTTCCCGTGACAGTACAAAAGTATGATTAAAGTAGCAATTTCGGCGACAAAGTCCATCTGTACTCATTACGAATGCCTATAAATCCATCCATTATTTTATTACTTACGCAACCGCAAAGTAGAGATCAGTGATCAAGAAAACTGAAACGAATCGAAGATGAGATCAGTGACCTAACTTAAACAAAAGTAATATTTTGGGAGCCTAACTATTTGTACTTGACTCTGACAGGATATCTTGTGTTCATCGCAAGATTCTATCAGCTATCTATTTATGTTAATGATGTGGATGATGAAGGAGAAAAGAGATTTGCTTTCAGTTGAGGTTATATTTTATACATATGAACTGCCGGCAACTATTCTCTAAACTCTTTTTTATTGTGAAAAGAAACATTTCTCAGACAACAACTATTAAAATAGCATTTCTCATTAGACCATTCTCAAGGAATTATTTTTAATTCCTACTCATGGCATGCACAGCAACAAAGACTCCACTGGAACTATAAACTCTAGTTATAAAACCAGAAATAATAGTAAAAAAACTACCATTACAGATGTAAATTAGTAAAAAATCTATTAAGCAAAGGAATTACCATAGCTATTTGCACTCACATTGCAGATCACTATGAGTATACTAGTTAGTTTAACTGATTAAATCTTTTGGTATCGTACAAACGGGGTATAGAGACAATCTCACTCACCCCGAGGTGGAGCGAGATTTAGTTTAGATTTAAAAATTTGAAATTAACAAGGAAAAAAAATGCAAGATAATAGATGACTACATTTACATGTAANTTGTCAAGTAATATAAGATACCAGTAATTTTCAAATACCAATAGTAGTTACTATTGGTAATATCTGAGGTAATCTGATTACCTCCATTTTCTTAGGTATTCTGAGATTACCAGGGTTATCTTTTTTTGTTACAATTTTATCCCTTATTAATAAAAATTTTGGACAATAATACCCCTACTTTAAAACAAATTTACATTAATATCCTATTTCAATTTTACCCTTGTTTAATTAAAATTTTGGACAATAATGCCCTTATATTTAAAATTATTTACAGATACCACTGCCACCCAGCCACCACCGCCGACAGTGGGCCAACCACCACAGACCACCGCCGAAAAATCGCCGGAGTCCCTAAAAAAGAAGAAAATTCTGTGGGAGGCTCTGGGAGGCTTTGCTATGGCCG